AGAGTCGCATTTCCCCGATGAGCAGCGATGGCAGCTCCTGGACACGCCCATCCCCCTGGAGGAGTTTGGGAGGAGGGTCTTCAAGACCTCAGCTTTCTTCACCACGGAGCTCAGGCTGATCCAGCCTCATCACTCTCACATCGTCACCGGTCAGTTCTGGGGATTTCTCTGGGGATGCATTTGATTAATCCTCCTATTTTTAAACAATTGTTTGCACCAAGTTATATTCAATGTATAGTATTAGCTTTTGTTAGTCTTTGCTTCTTTGAAAGGAACTGAGGCGATGACATTTTAATTTGACCAACCAATACCTACCAGTCTCTCTAGGACCAAGAGAAATGGTCCTAAATGTAACTTCTGATTTCCTTCTTAGATGATGGTGAAGCAAATGTGTCAATAGGCTTCTCTAGGCCAACGACCTTTACCTATGAGATGACACAGCACCAGGACTTTCTCCATAGTGGAGTTTCGGAGCAGAAAGAGTCCAGCAACTCCTCCTATGGCCTTCTAACGGTTTCCCATCGGAGCATGAAGCTGAAGCTCCTGCCGCCTGCAACCGGCGTGTATGACGTGAAGGTGTTTGCCCGACCTGAAACAGCCACCACGCATCTGGTTTGGGTCTGCTCCTTCACAGTGGAGTGTCCGGTCCCCAGGGCCATGGAGGAGATCCCAGAGAACCCCTTCCTGTCTTGGGGCCTGCAGCCGGTTGCAGGATCTCTGGGCGTTGCAGGAAGCAGCCAGGACAGCAAGGCGGCTGAGGTGGAGGAAGGTGTCTTTGTTTTGACATTAAAGAGTTCCAGGCCTCTGATGTTGCTGTGTGAGCTGGTTCACCCGGCGCTGGAAGCTACTGTAGCTAAGCGCTGCGTGGCAACTCAGATACAACCGGATGTCCTGACCTGTCATGTCATGTGCCCGTTACGTGGCTTCTACCGACTCTCAGTGTTTGTGCGAGACTATGAGAAAACAGAGGTCAAGTTTCAGAATGCTGCAAACTTCCTGTTGCACTGCAAAGGGAAGGTGGTGAGTCGGGATGAGCTCTACCCTCCTAACCTGGGCTCGGCATGCGGCCCGGGGTCCCGCACAATAGAGGCGGGGCTGTCCAAATTCAGCCACACAACAGCGCTGGTGAGTACCCAGCAGGGCAAATGTAACATCACCTTCCACAACCAGCGGGACCTCGAGCTTCACACAGTGCTCAGCAGGGAGGAGAACCAAACAGCAGCCATCCCACTTTCACGGCACGTCTTCTGCACGTTCACAGACAGCAAGGTGACGGTGAGCGCCAGCCTGCCTGATGCGGGGGTGTATCGTCTGGCCCTGTATGCTAAGATCACCCCTGGTGGAGATTTCAGCCCCATGTGTGACTTTGTTGTGAGGAACAGCTGTGTTCAGCCGGGGCCTCCGTTCCCCTGCGTCTACTCCGCCTGGCGAAAAGGCTGCGTGCTCTTTGAGCCTCGCGTGGGCCTGCTGGAGCCCGTCACGTGGGTCCGCTTCAGAGTGAGGGTCCCCGGGGCCCAGAGGGTGAGCGTGATGGGAGAGACGCGAACTGATCTGAAAATGAATAAGAGCAGAGTCTGGGAGGGAGATGTTTTAAGTGGAAACGGGCTCCAACCACTGAAACTGGCCGCCACATCGGGAGAGTCCACTGACATGGCTGTTTTGATGATCTTTGACATCAAGCAGGTGGAAGGAGAACAGTAGAAAAGGCCAGTGGAGAAAAGACAGATCGTTTTCTGAACATAACTGCCAAATAAATGTATTGATATGGACTCGCGATCCAGACTTGGGTAGACAAGCATTGCAAATATTTCAAACTGCGAAGCATAATCTTTCAGGTTTATCTGGATTAATAATCAAGATTGTCATAATGAGGTGTATACGTTTTATTTTGAAATATGGTCTTGTGATTATGTTTGAAGCAATGATGTGATAAAAATGACATCGCAAATGTGGGGATTTTTCTTAACTGGGTTGTACTCAACTAAAATTGACTTTGGTGCTCAGCTTTGGTGCTCAGCTGTGATCATATGGTGCATTGTTATGTTTTATGAGGAAGACCTGCATAATGAAACAATGTCAGAAAACGTGCAATAAAAATTAACTGTGAAAAAAAGATATGAATCTTGATTTCCTACCACAATAGTCACGGTTTCTCATCAATGCCATTTTTTGTTTTTACAATATAAACACATCTAAGAGGCCTATACATATTTCTTAATAATGTTTAAACATTTGTTTTAGTTTAAAATATAGCTTACAATTTTACAAGGAGGTGTTTAAATGATTTAGCCTGGGTTGGGACAATAATAGAAACACCTTAACTGCCAGTATAATGAAATAAACCTCCAAGCCATACGATTAAATGAGCAATCCTTCAAACTCATTACCCCCATATACAGTGCCTTGCCAAAGTATTCACCCCCCTTTCCATTTTTCCTATTTTCTTGCATTAAAACCAAAAATAATAATATTTTTGGGGGGATTTTATGGCAAGACCCCCACAAAGCCAGTCAAAATTGGTGAAGTGAAAGAAAAAAAGAGCACGTTTCAAAACGTAACAAAAAAATGTAAAACTGAAAAGTGGTGTGTGCAAACAAAGACCTTCAGAGTCACACAATTATTGAAATAAAGTTCACCTGTGTGCAATCAAGTGCCTCATTATCTCTGTATATACAACTGTTGTAGAAGGCCTCCGTCTTCCATACCACAGCAAGTGGCCTTTCTAAGCAAGAAAACGACACCATGAAGACTAAAGAGCTCTCCAAACAGGTCAGGGACAAAGTTGTGGAAAAGTACGAGACAGGGTTGGGTTATAAACAAATCTCACAAACGTTGAACATCACGAAGCAGCATTAAATCCATTATTTTTTTTAATGGAAAAAATATGCCACGACAACAAATCTGCCAAGAGAGGGCCGCCCACCAAAACTCTCACACCGTGCAAGGAGAGCATTGATCAGAGAGGCAACAAAGAGGCCGAGGATAACCCAGAAGGAGCTGGTAAGCTCCACAGCAGAGAGAGGAGAATCTGTACATAGGACCACAGTAAGCCGGACACTGCACAGACAAACAGGTGGAAGAAGGTCCTGTGGTCGGATGAGACTAAAATTGAACTTTTTGGCCATCAAGGTAAACGCTATGTCTGGCGCAAACCCAACACCTCTGATCCCCCTCAGAACACCATCCCCACAGTGAAGCAAGGTGGAGGCAGCATCATGTTGTGGGGATGTTTTTCATCGGCAGGAACTGGGAAGCTGGTTTAATAGAAGGAGTGATGAATGGAGCTAAATACAGGGAACTACTTGAGGAAACTGTGTTTCAGTCTGCCAGAGATTTGAGGCTTGGGCGGAGGTTCACCTTCCAGCAGGACAATGACCCAAAGCATACTGCTAAAGCAACGCTAGAGTGGTTTAAGGGGAAACATTTAAACATTTTGGAGTGGCCTAGTCAAAGCCGACCTTAATCCAATCGAAAATATGTGGTATGACCTAAAGATGGCTGTACACGAGCGGGACCCATCTAACCTAAAGGAGCTGGAGCAGTTTTGGCAAGAAGAATTGAAGCAAATCCCAGTGGAAAGATGTGCCAAGCTTATAGACACATACCCCAAGAAACTTGCAGCTGTTATTGCTGCAAAAGGTGGCTCTACAAAGTATTGACTTTAGGGGGGTGAATAGTTATGCACGCTCATGTTTTTTCTTTATCATTAATATTTCTTGTTTTTTTCACAATAAAAAATATGTTTTGCATCTTCAAAGTTGTAGGCATGTTGTGTACATCAAATAATACAAATTCTCTAATTAAATTACATGTTTTGATGCAATAAAACAAGAAAAATGCCAAGGGGGGTGAATACTTTCGCAAGGCATTGTATATATATATATATATATATATATATTTATACGTCAATAGGATTTAGTGCAGGACTGTTGCATTAGACTGCATTTCGTTGGGCTTTTACTGAACTGAGTGTGTCTCGTGGTTAAATAAACACGTTCAAACATGCAGCCAAAAAAAAAGTCAGTCACCAGTTTGTGTTGGGGTCAGGCTGGTGACACTTTCCTGTCCATCTCACCTTAACAAGCAAAGGTTTTTAAAGAAAAGAAAGAAATAGACCCTACCCTACCCTACTTAATAATCAGTACAGTGCAGTATTGTTGCAGTGACCTGTTCTCACTCTGCAGGATTTGGCAGACGCCAGTGAGAGTGATGAGTGTTACATGTGGCTGTCAAAATAGCCCACAAATAGCCTTGGCTCACTGCCTCAGTAAAAATACAATAGAGGAGCTGGGAGTTAGAAAAAGGGCGGTTAAAAGTGAAGGCGATACGGTAAGAGTGTGTGTTAAGAGTGTTAAGTGTATCTGAGTGAGGGGGGAGGGGGGGGGGGTGGGTCTTGCCTTGAGTCGCTGGGGAGAAAGTGGCAGCACAGCATTGTCAGGAGAGAGGTGAGGAAACACTGATGTCAGAGGTGAGCCATGTGGAGGACTTTGTCTGCCTGGCAACAATACAAGGACACACACACACACTCTATTTCCCTTACTTTTGAACACATACACAGCATGAGGAAATGGAGGCTAAAACTGTGTGCAGGATTCCTCACATTCTCTCAGCTCTATTTCAGCTGCAATTTATTCTTAACAAAGTTTGTTAATAGCCACACACACACACACACACACACACACACACACACACACACACACACACACACACACACACACACACACACACACACACACACACACACACACACACACACACACACACACACACACACACACACACACACACACACACACACACACACACACACCACACACACACACACCACACACACACAACACACACACACACACACACACACACACACACACACACACACACACACACACACACACACACGTTTGGGTTTAGTCTACCCTGCTCTCTGCCCCAGTTGGTGCTGGTACAGGATTCAAATTCACAAACTACTTAATTAAAATGAATTCATAAAAGGACAACCATTGATCAACCATATAAATATTTAATGGATTACGTGGTGCAATAAAAACAACAATAAGATTATAAAAGCATCAGTCACAGGAAAAAAACAAAAGTTACAGTAGTTTTTGTGCAAATGCAATTCAGTTTCGCTCACTTTCTGTGAACACCCTCAAAACAAAATGTGGAAGTCAGTTTGGCACTTTTTTATTTCTCGTTACACTAGAGAGCGTTATGTTTTCCTTTGCTTTGGACGGCTTGAAGAAAGGGGAGAAGAAATGAGCCCTTGACTTTTTTCCCCAGATCTAATTCTGCCATCACGACATCAAACCCCTCCCAACTCGCTGTGTTTTTGACACGAATAACAACAACCTTTTTTTGAACACGACTGTGCGGCCAGCCGGTGTGTTGCTACGGACAGAAGATATTAAGCACAATTTCCCCCCGTCTTCTTCTAAAACACGCACGTTTTAAGGGACTCTTTAATCTCAGGAATGGAAGTAATAAATAAACCTGAGCAAATCCCTCTCGCTGTCTTAGAGGGGCCTGTGATTCCCTTTAACCCAAACAATTAGTATCAACAGTCCCCGTGGCCTGAGAAATATGAAATGTTAAAAATCCATTTTCAAGCCAATTGTCCATCAAGAACAAAAATACCTAATATCATCCTGAAGTGCATAAATTCCACAATCCTTTTGAACACTGGAGCCAATCTTCAAAAGTAAAAAAGAACAAAGAACTCTGCGCAATCTCATCGCAGTGCAAGAAAAATACATTTCCCCTCCTTTATATAAAATCAATTAACACCAAACTTTGTTTTTGTCCTATAACTTCAGCTACAAAATGGCTAGCCTCCAGGACGAAGACACCGGGGTGCTCAGTCTGCCAGAGAGTCAGTCACACCGAGGGGCTTGTGGAGGGCTCTTTGGGCCCCCATTGTGCAATAAGTAGGGGTCACCCAACAATTTCAATCCTCGTTTTGTTTATCCACTGTGAGCGTCAATACATCTTTAGTATATAACTGTACGCAGCCCATATTTCAACATCTTTTTGGTCAGTTTGCGAGAACACCTGAATCTCCCCGAGCCCTCCGGCGGCCCCCCCCTCTGTGACCTCGCCGACTTTACCCTCTGACTTAGGAAAACACATTGCTTTTAAAGAACGACTCTATGGATTCCTTTCACCAATACTGTTGAAGGACGGATCCTCGCCTGACAACACCTCCCCCCCCCCCGTGACAGGGAGGGGAGGGGGGGCTCTGAACGCAGCTTTAATATCTGCTTTTCTTAGCCGGAGCCAAGGCACTGCTGGATCAGAGAAACCTGACATCCATCAGATTCTCTTTTTTTTTTTTACTACAAAATAATTGCATCTGCTTTTTGTTGTTTTTTTGTAGCTTGTGCGAGACGAGAGCTTTTTCTTGCATCTAGAATGTTCAATTCACAGTCTTACAAAAATACTATTTGTCGATTTGAGGTAATTCAATTTCTCAGCAGATACGTAAAATAAATGTGATTCTTTTCTCTTTGTTGTACCAGTTTGGTGAAAGGCAATTGTTTTTTTAAGAATACATGTGGTATTATATTCACACGACATCTCAACACATGCAAAAAAGTGTAAAAGTACTTGCAGCAGTACTTGTGTATACGTGTTAGTGGTAATTTGATTTCAATATCACAAACATCTTACATAACCCTCAACTCTTTAAGGACTTCTTGATCTCTTAGCCAATTATATTTGTAGTTTCTCTTCTCTTTGACATGTGTAGCAGGTTTCTAAGTTGTGAAGCCTTCAGTCTCCCAAACATCAGCCTCAAAACTATTTCACTGTCAATCAAGTGAACTCTCTGCAGTATTACATAACGGCAGAGCGACAGCAACTGTTGTTCAAAACAAACTGCTCTGAGAGTGCATCCCTGAAATGCTAAGTTGATCCAGCTTAAAAAAACTGTTATCATTCTGTCAACAAAGGATTTATGTTACATCATTTCATGTCCACTTTGAAAAAAGGCATCGTAATCCGCTTGCATTACGTTCCATCTATAATTTGTGAGCAGATGTAAAGCTTTTTTTTTTTCTCATTTTGCAAAAACCTTTCACATGTTGTCAATAACTTTAATAGAGCTACACGCACTCAAAGGCAGCATCCAGCAGACCTCATAACACAAGCTGTGAGAGACGGAGAATTTAGCAGCCCATTTGTCCTTAAAGAGCTATTTGAGGGTACAGTGAGTACAATGTATAAAAACAAAGGGAGGGTACAATTGCACTTATTTCATAGAGTAAAAGAGTGTAAGAGGGGAGCTAATGGAATGAGTAACTTGGGGTGAACTCCTCTTTAGCTGGCTGGAAGGGTTACATGTTAGAGGCATGTTACATTGCTATGTTATTTGCTATTCTATGCACTGTAATATTGTTATAGACAGTGGCACTTGGAGCACAGGATGGTATGGCTTCAGATCAAAGTGGATCTGCTGGGGGGACGGATGGGGCCAGCAGTGTCAGGTTGGGTTCGGAAATGTTTGAATTTACGCAGATCCTTTGGGGTCAAAATAACTTACTAACAATGTTATCACTCTTTGTATGTCTGCCAGCCATAAACAAATTATCGATTCATTTTACTGGCTGCTGACAGCACTGACATACAGACATGTAAAACATGACATCGCCAGCATCGTGAATGACAACCCAAAATAAACCAAGGTCACCACAGATCTAAAAATATCTCAGATAAGAGACTAACGGCGTTGAAGTGTTCAACTCACCAGCAAGCATCCCCCCCCTCTGCTAAGGAATAAATATGCTCTTAGAAAAACACCCTTCCTCTCTTATCTCAAGAGTACTCATTAGTAATCACGGCACAGCGTACAAAGGCCTATGCAATATAGTATGTGCACATTTCTAAGCGCACTTAAATGTTCCTTTGTCAGTATTATTTCACTCCATTTAGCGCCACTTGAACCACAGATTGTTAATTAGTCTCCATGTTACACTGCTGACCCCATAATAAATGAAAGCCATCACATCTCCACAGATTAGAGCAGGGTTCCTACACACTCTCAACTCCGACCAATTTATCTTGCTTTTACTTTGAAATGCTGGTTCAATATAAATGGGTCTTATGCGACCAAAATATGCAGCTGCACCAAGTACGACGACACAGGTTCTCCACAAAATGACTGACAGCTTACCAAACACATTTCAAACCCTGTGTAGGAACCCTGATAGGATGAAGACATGCATAGAACATCAGTGTGACACACGGACAAACAGTAGCATAACTACTCATTAACATTAAGTGTAATTCTCTTCGACATCACGCCCCAGATACGAAGCCTTACTCATGTTTACCCAGACCTAACCAACCCAATCTAGGTTTACCCAGATATATTTTATTTCCCCCTTGTCTAACCCATAAGTAGTGACCCGAAATATTAAAACAAAACAAAGGAATGGTCACACTTAAAAGAAACGCAACAATAAATAAACGTTTGATGGGAATGATGAACCGAGTGATCCACACCTGGCTGCAGTGAGGCTTGGCTGAACGTTCTGTGTCTACCAGGTTTCTCACTGTGAAGTAGCAGCATTATAAATACTGAATGCAGTGCTTTAAGAGAACGTTTGTGTGTGACCATGTGACCTCAAAGTGTTTCTTGACAGCCTCAGCTGTTTAATATCCACAACACTTTGGACTGCATTTGGTTTTATTGCACTTTCATCAGATTCACTTTAGAAGTCTTAAAATAAAGCACTGGGATGGTGTTTAGCTATGTGATTAATGGCATCATTCATCAGTTGTGTGCAGCCAACAGGCTGTTCAATGTTTACAGCTCTACGGCCAAGCGCTCCCTCTGCTGCAGCGTGGCAGGCAGACAAGATAACAGGTGGGCCGTGGATTGGGTGACAACAGAGGAGGAGCGATTCTTGAGAAACCCCAACAGGGAGCCCATCAGAATCACACGGCTTTCCATGCCTCTCCAGAAATAGAGGCATTATTTTGCCAACTGTGATAAACAGAAACGCGCGAGCTGTACGAGTGTGTTCTCCGAAATTCCCTTCAATTGTGAAAGTCTCATAGCCTTGGCTAGCGACGTAATCACATCGGTTTAAAGATGGAGTCTTGTGTTGCGTAATGTTTCACATTTGTTGTGAGCAACTCTCATCTCTTGACAAACAAGTCTTAATTTTAATTGCCACAAGTGACCCATATCATCTTGTCACTTTAATATGATAGCTATAATGCATAACTCGCCAAAGTGCTAACTGGGCAGTAGGAAGTACGGCAAACTGCTTCTGATTGGTCATGTAATTGTTTAAAAGCTAAAACCTTTGATGACACCACATTAGGAAACAAAGTGACATAGATAATAGATGGACTTCTGTGTGACCACACATTGACCATAGTGGTGGAGCGTTCAGTACATAGACCCGGTGCCCTCCCTGGCCCCCCCCCCACCCACCCACAGTGTTTCCCTCAGAGTTAAATGACACAGATGGAGGCAATGGACATACAGACAGCTTCAATCAGGGATCAAACAGGTCAGGCTGACCCTGCAGCTCCAGCTGACGGTTGAATTGCTCCACCTCTTTGTTGGCCTCGGTGATGTACTCCTGGATAAACTCTTCCATGTCTGCGGTCAAAGCAATGTAAGGAAAACAGCAGAAAATCTCCAAAGCGGGCTGCGAAATAAAAGAAATAATCAAGTTCTACCAACCACTTAATTACATGCACAGTTTTTCATGATCACGTGCTTCTCAGGGTCAAAATGTAAGTAATGCACAACAGGCAGGTTTCTCTCCTTTTTGTTGCCTTTTAAATCAGAAACATCATCAATATGTCAAGTAAGGCTGCCACAATATCAGACTTTTGCTGCACTATTATCCCGGCTAGAACCATCCAGGTCATGATATGACTGCGATATGTGTAGAAATTGAAAAATAATTTTTTTTTTATTAGATTTAAAATAATATTTATAATGCTGTCAGTAACATTTTAATTCAACCTGTTTCTTGTGCATTCCACCCTGACATCATTGTTATTTTTTTAGACATCATGTTTATCGTCAACAACGCAACACCCTGATCTCCAAGCTTGAGAGACAAACTAGATGTAGTCAAGGTTCTACAATACACCGTGGAGATTAGAAAAAGGATACAGGGATGGAAGTTCATTTTTTCTCCAAAGATGTCGACATATTGATAACCGTTGTAGAAGAAGCCTGGTGGCAGGGGGTCCAGGTGCCTGGTCATCTGAAACACATAATATCAAGTCATTTCCTGAAACAGCCCACATTTCAATCAACACAAACTCCAAAAAAAGTAATCTAATAAATATCTCAAAACAGTTCAAATCAAACCACAACTGATAAATGTCAATTGAGGAGTTCTCGTAAACCAGTGTTTCTCAAACTTTTTCATACCAAGGACCACTTAACCAATAAAAAAACACTCGCGGACCACCTAACTCCACAAATATCCAAAAACACATCGTTTTTTACAAATCGCCTGAAAATGGTACAAACAAGTGGCAACATGTGTGATGAAGGTGTTTATCTGGGCTATATCATGCAATCGAAAGTGAAACTTAAGCTCGCTCCATTGCGGAGATATTCCCGCGAGAGTGCGGAAAACTTAAATAAATAAATGTATTTCAAATGTGAAATTTGACTAATATACTCACGGACCACTAGGGGGTGGTCCGCGGACCACACTTTGAGAAGCACTGTTAAACAAACAGTTGTATTTACATGTATTGTCAGTCAAAGACCATATGCATGTATTGCTGGGGTCTATCCCATGTGTTGGAGCTACTGTCGCCCCCCCACCTGCCACATTTCTAACAGCCATCAAGCCTTAACCAGCAGCTGGAGAGTGCAATGAGTGCATGAGAGTCATTTCATATTGGTGCAAGCTCATAAAAACATGAGTAGCTTTATTGCTGTTCCATCCACACCATTGGTAAATATCAAATGATATCATAATGATAAGTATAAACACACTCACATGTATGCTCTTGATCTCTTGTGGTGAGAGAGTACTTTTTGTCCTCTTAGGTTTATTTGTCTGCCTCTGAAAACAACAAACAGAAAAAACAACCACATGAAGACAACAACGTATTTTCTTATACAGTACTTTACTGATGGCACCCATTATAGAATATATATATACATGAGTCTTAGCACTGTGTGCTGCCATCAAAAACAGAAAGGTTATTTAATATAGGCTTTGAGTAAAATGCTTGTGTTTGCGCAAACTAGAGAGGAATAGCTAACACCAGTGTGTTTTTGGTGAGATTATGACCATCCTGGCCCAAATTACAAGGGGGTGCCAGATCCCGCAGCCATAGATGAAAGCATTGCAATATTTATATAATTGCAGTAATAAGAAGTCTTTAGTGACAATATCATTATTTAACATTTTATTAAAAACTAGGCACAGGAAATGCAAAGCGTTTGTCAGTGAATTTGATACACGCATATGCATATCAAAAACAAGACAATGGTCCTTTGGGGCATTCTTACAGCATCTGTTTGATATCTTGCCAGGAGTAATTGAACAGGAGCAGCCACAGTGAGAACTTTCACTGTTCACAAACTCATGCAATGTAAATGATGGACAAAAAGCCAATTATTGCCTAATATATATTAATACGAAACCTGCAGTATTAAACCCACTTCCTGTTACCACCAGTAGATATGGTGTTGTCAAATTAAACAGGACTTCATTCTTAATGCGTGGCACTTTAAAAGTGTACCTGTTTGGCACACAGTCTGAGCCAGTCCTTCAGTCCATCCGCAGTGAGGCCCACACCATCAAAGACCAGGAAGCAGGGGGTGTCGGTGTCTTTGGGGCCCGGGGTCAGAGGGATAATGCTCAGGCTCCCGCTCACTGTGTTGTAGCTCACCTCCATCAGCTGCTCTGAGTCTGGAGGTTCCAGAGATGAAGGAGCTCACATCAAGTAGCACATGCATTCACACCTTGTGTAACACCTTCTACAGCAGCGTCATATGGAAACAGCATGCTGTCGGTGGGGTGTTAATGTTTCAACATCTATACAACCTCTCTGTTCCAAAAAGGACTCACAGAACTCACGTGTGGTAAGAATTATAAAATTAAAACATGTGCTTACTCAACTTGAAATATGTATTACAGTAACATACAAAAATAACTAATACATGAAGTAAAACTAAATATAAAGTGATGTAAATCATACGGTACCCTTAAGACATTGACTGACACTAAGGGGATGTGAGTATTAGGATAAGGATGGTACAGTACAGTCTCCACATTCGCTCCATACTGCTGTATCCTCTCGCCTCTCTACAAACATCTGCACATTCTCTGCACATCTCCTCACAGACACCTGCACTCTCTCCTCATGCAACAACGCTACACAGGTCGTCAAAAGAAAAAAGAGTGAGAAAACTATGAGGAGGAAACTAAACCGGTGGACTATGAGCTGAATTCTAAGCACCAGACACCAGAGCAACAAGCGAGCAGTTTTCCTACCGTCAGGAGCGTCTTGCCCGCCTTGAGGGCAACCTTTTCTCTAATAATTCCCAAAACTGGGAAATGCAAATGCAGGTCAAACAAGTCACATTTCAACACATCTGATTTTACATTTTTCAAAAATTATCAAAATAAGACTTTACAATAATTTACAGACAACATTTTTTTAAATGTGTTCCTTCCTACCAGAAAATCGGACTTTTCCCCAAACATTGTACACATTTCCTCGGAAGGGGGTCAGCCTCAGTGATGACTTGAGTCCTACAGAAGAATGAAAAGCAGTTAGAACTGTAAAACTAACTGTTGAATTAAACCATTTATTTTAAAAAGGTCCCATGACATGCTTTTCCGGTTATTACCCGTCCCCTTGTGTGTTATGAAGGTTTGTCTGCATGTAAACGGTCTGCAGAGTTACAAACCCTCAAAGTACTCCCTGTAGCGAGTAAAACTCTAACACAGAAAACACCTGTCTGTCTATGCTGCCCCAGAACGCCTCGTTGGAGATTTCTCTTTTTCTTCCTGAGTACAGTGACGTGCCCATACCCAAATGGACCCATTGGTCCAAATGGACCAATCCGTGGAGCCGTTACGTCCGCGGAGCCGTTACTAAGCCGTTACTTCCTCACACACACACACACACACTCAATCTTTTCTCAGCTGCAGCTCCGTCGATTCCTCCTCCCTGAGACGGCGGGATGCGGCGAGGCTGTGAGTCGGTGTGTGAGCACACACACAAACTCCCAGCCAGGCTGCGGGTGTGTGTTCGGGCTGGTTTCGGGCTGGGTTTCGCCGTGTCTCGCAGACAGCCACTGGGCTCACAGGGAAGGGGGGGAGGAGCTCCAACAAGCCGTTTAGGACAGAGAGTAAATACTATACAGAGATGCTGTATGAGAAACCAATATGATTTTGGAAAATTGCACAATATAAATCTATTCTAGTAGACCTCAACAATGGAATTATGATCAGTAGAAATGGCCATGACATGGGACCTTTAAATGATTAATTCCTGAAGGGGAAAACTGGCAGCAGGTTGTCATAAATGCATCCTATGGGAGGACAGATTGTTTCACAGCAACAGCAGACAATTACTTTGGGACCCCAGTTGTCTCCATATTTGGAGGGAAAGGCGGCTTATGTAATCCTCATCAAACACTGCCAGCTCGTATCTGGAACTTGTCACGTGTAACGGTCAAAAAAGGGGGGAGAATTACTTTCCATCTCACCTTTACAGCGGGTGACAAATAGAGGCCTCTCGAGGGGCCTGTTGAAAGCCACGCGCTGCTGGGTGAGAACCAGAGAACCAGACCCGGAGAAGAAGCGCCCTTTGCACCTGAAACACATTACACACATGGTGAGAAAGTGAAGTTGAGAGCAAGCCAAATGTGTGTGCTACATTTTAGCTTTGGCTTTCAGCTCCCCACAGGAAACAGGACACTGTTGGTAAATGTGCTGCTAAAACTGTGGAAATGGTAAATCTGCACTTGTGTCTCATCAACAGATTATGTTCTTGATTAAAGGGTAAGGAGGTGTAAGAAGCAACTCAAAACACACATTTGAACATGAGTTTATAAAAAGGTCCAAACAGTATCCAGTGGATGATCTGAGAGGGGGGGCTTAGCAGAGGTTCATATTAGGCTGCCCACCGGGGCATGATGTCTAAATGGACCCGGTCCAAAGGGAAGGAGACCCCTCTGTGTACATGGCAACTGCATGGCCAACAGCCTGTTACTGTGCTGCCAGGAGGCAGCTGGTGATAGAACACAAGATGCCCTGAGGGGCTTTACAGCAATCAGCAGCCGATAGCAGCCCAACAGCAATTAAACTGCAGGGAGGGAGACGAGGCCGAGGAGGGAACAGCGGCCAAAAGGTTGAGTGTGGACACAAGAGGACACCTGGGGGGCTCAACTAGGAGAGGGACCATAGGGAGAGGGTCTCACCATCCAGGGTAGAGGACGTAACGGGCCCTTAGCATCTGAGGCTCATTGAAGCTGCTCTCAGAAAGTATCAGATTCACATCTTCATTCCTAAGTGACACAAAAAAAAAGCACAATGAATACGTAGCACGTACAAAAACATTATAAAAATGATTTAAAAATGATTACTATATAGCAGTTGTGAGAAAATAGAGACAAACATATGTTATCTTTGACTCAACACTGTGGGTGTCATTTATTAATACAGCTAAAAAATTAAAAGGAAAACCATTGACAAATATTACTCTTAACACTATGTTTCCATGGTAACACAATGACACTGTCCAACTGTTACTGTTTTAGTGTGAAGGTAAATCATCACAGAAAAGGAACATACGTTGATGGTGGTGTTTACACACAGACAACGGTTAATAAGATCCTTGGAGTTCGTAATAACCAAATTAAACTTAAATTAATATTGACATTTTGTTTTAGGTACAGAATGCAGTATATGTTGACACATTGTTTTCAGTGGTCTGATCCAACAGATTCAGACAAAGACTCAAAAAGTGGATAATAATACAGCCTGGAGTGATTCTTTTCTAGTCAAAGATAAAAGAAGGGAAATGGCTGTTTGCGGCATTGATCATGATTCTGTGGGCTCCTACCTGGTGACAGCTCCTCTCTCTGCCAGTATGAAGGCAGCGGTGGGGTTGGCAGAGCGTACCAGCTGCTGAACATGCTTCATGAGAGGGTGCTTCTGCTCTGCTGTCAGCCCGGTGAACACCACTGTACTCGCAATACCTGACATACAACCAGGCACAAGAAGAGAATATGAATTCCAGGAGAAACTGGAATACTTTACTGATAATACACAATTACGTCTTTGTATCCACCGCAGGGAATGAATGCCACAGTGAAATACGAGTGATTTATTGGCATTGCTGCTGCTGTGTTGTACATACAAGCAGAATTTGTCATTGGTTTTACTTCAAAAACGATTATTAAGATACAAAAAGTAAAGATAAATAATTATTTGACTGTCAGATTTCCTCCCTGCGGCCATAGGAGGAAGCGGTTGGTGCAATGGGCAATTTGACCTTCGTTTGCCATTTAAGTCGGGTCAAGTAATTTTCATTTTATTTTATATAAGTGCTAACAAATGCCAGTATTTTTTTGTATTCTTCCAATCTTTTTTAATGCTAAATGGACCACATAGAAGAACATAGACCTTTTAATGTTATTTGTTGACATTAAGTTACAATTATGCTTTCAACTTGACTTAGTTACCAACAATCATTACTTTCTTGACCTTCAATGGTTTTATATGTGGCAACATGGCATATGTTTGGAATGGCTATGTTGAACTGGTTCAATAAGAGCTTTTCACTTCTGAAAACAAATCAATAACAATGAATATCAATCTGGTGTTTCCACAGTATCATGTGAAAGCAGTTTGGACAGGACTTACCTTGGCTGCACTGCTCCAACAGCTTAGGGAATGTAAATCTGCAGTAACAGACAAGGGACAGAATACAAATAATATAAATATACAGTATATTGTCAAATGCACATTTAGTGACCTAAGATTGTCAATTCTGCATTCAGGATAGATTATGTTGAAACTAAGTTTTTTTCTTTACATGTAAGAGTTGTGTTTTTATGTATTTATTTAAATAACAGGCCTCTTTATTTAAACCCATGCCAATCACTCTATGTATCCCTAATGGGTGGTTGCTAAAGTAGGGCAGCAATAAACAGTCTAATTCCATGTTATGGAGCTTGGCTAGCAGTCGGGTTATCAATCGAGAGGCATTTTTCACAGGATGACATCATGACAATGTCTGACAACTGGCCAATGTGAAAGCTTTCTGTAATCTCATTTGATCTAAACATAATTTATCCTGAGTTTTCAAATCGATCAGTGTTATACACCACTTTCTGAATAGCTCTCCTGAGCCAAGTCCGCCTCCAGCCCACACGGACCCTCCCCTGCAGCTCTTAGAGCCTGCAGGCAGAGAGGGGGGGGGGGGGGGGGTCAGCAATTTGAAAGGCATTCATCTTCCCTGTCCTGATGTAATGAACTGTCTACATTCATCACAAAGAATGGATCACGACTGACTGATGAGCTTCAGTGAGGAGGGTGAGTTGGTCGCACACGTGGACCTGGGGGGATTAAAAGGCTCTTCTGGAGGGGTTGACGGGTGGGTCAGGTCTAAGCTGGGCTAACCACACCCAATTAGCACCACAGTGGGGCCCGCAGGTCTCCACTCAATCTATGGCAACATACAGTGATGGGGGGGCTTGTTGAAGATGCCTCGCATGTATCAGTCAGTGCTAACCACATTACTAACTAAACCTCTTATTACACATTTTCCACTGCGCAGCCAAGTGGGGCTTTCAGAGTTAAACTATAGGGTTAACACGACTTGTTATAGCAAAGGATGCTAAACATGTTTGAGATTCGTTATTAAAGCTTTGCTCGCTAGAAAATCCAGTTCGATTTTTATCATGCGTATATTCTATTGGATTTATCACTGTTGTTATATATATATATATATATATATATATACAGTATATAAGGGCCACTTACGTGCATGTTTATATTTGAGAAAATATGTTTATGTTGGCATGACAGATTGCATTTGCTTTGAATACTATTTAAATGAATACCACTGTGTCTTTGTAGTTTTGTTTATATTGATATTATTGGGCTATGCTAAATGTATGTTTCTGTTTCTGTTATTATTACGACACGTGATAGTGACATAACGCAGCCTTTAGTGTGTTATGTCCATAAGAGTGTATCTGTGTTATACCAGTAAGATGCTGGGAGTCTGCAAGCTTGGATTGAAACAAGTTTTGTACCGTATTAGCTTGTAGTGAAGTTTTGTATTTACTTATTGCAGTGTTATAGTATGAATTTATCAAGTCTGTATTTCAGCGCTAAAGATGCACTTTGCTATTATCTCAATTTGGATACCCTGTTATGATATCCTTGCAGAATAAGTGGCCAAGGAATTTACATTGGATCAACAGCATTATCTTTTGTATTAAATTGCTAATGAATCGAGATAACAGCAGTAGTTTTCCAAGCATGTTGGAAAAAGTAGACCCTCTGACTTCATCTGTATGCAAGTTTCAGTGGGCAGCGCAGCTTGGCTGTGCAGTGGAAAACAGCCTATTACCCGGAGTGGTATGTCATATTGTGCGGAGCAGCTCAGTCAATCTTCCACAGTGAGAAGCTCTGTAAGCTATATCTAAAGCCTGTAACAAAAGGAGAGTGAGATTAAATGTAGGACTGATCCTCTCCGTAAAAAGGGACCCAGCCTTGAGTTTTAATAGCTAAAAGTGTCATGTAACCTCGTCCTGAAAACCACCAGCGCTTACACAATTTACCAACATCCGGCCCTGTCTGTCATCATCTGGTCCGTCCATATGTCCCAGAAAAACAAAGTAAACCATCCACTTGAACTCAGGTTCTGTTGTTGCTGTGTTTTTTTGGCCATTTAATTTTGCAATATAGGACAAGACAGGATAACATAACATTAGCTGCTACCTGCATGCAACTACATTTGCAAACAGGGGTCACAAGAACCCTTCTAGTCATGGGCAAACTGTTAAAAATGTTGTCATAAAACAGGAAGCATAAAGCGTAGTTTGCTTCTTGCAGAATGTTATCATTATCCTGTGCTGAATTTCAAAATATGCAATTTGAAAGTCATTTGATTTTTACTTACACAGCAAACAAAACCATTTCAGAAGCTTTACTTCTGCATGAATGATGAGATGCACCTTAAATTGTACACTGACTTCTTTGCTTGGTCTTTTCGTCATCCATCACACTTCATTTAGTTTTCTAGTTTATGAAAAGGCAATTTTCCAGTCCGTTTGGCAATCTAGTCAGATAGGAATATTATCTACTTCAGTTAGACATTGAAGTTTGCTCACTCTGGGTACATGGTAACTCAGAAACAAAAGTAGCTAGAAGTCAGTGGACATGAAATGATCTCATACAATTATTTTTGGCAGTCAAAGCCCTTTTGTTTCCTTCTTTCTTTTAAAAAACATAGATGAGACAATAATGAACTGGAGGAAGAAATGTTCACCTATGCTCCACACAGGAGGCGAGGGGGTCCACACAAGCAGTGATAGCACCGATGGTGAAACACGCCTGCACCACAGGGTCAGGATGGAAGAGAACAGCCTGGACCACATCCAGAACATCTGTGTATCTGCACAAGTAGAACATATTGACAAATTACCATGAACAGAAATGAATTCAAGGTAAAAAAGAATGGACTGAATTGTGTGCCATCTCAAGATCCAGTTACCAAAAAATATTACACATATGATTACAGCACAAACTTGGCCTGTGTGTGTGTGTGTGTGTGTGTGTGTGTGTGTGTGTGTGTGTGTGTGTGTGTGTGTGTGTGTGTGTGTGTGTGTGTGTGTGTGTGTGTGTCATCCCTTCTAAATGGCTAACAGCGTGTCTCTAAAGATGCGTATCATTTCACTGTAATGGCATGTGGCTGTTAGCACTAATCATTGTGAATTAGACTGTTATGAGGCTCATTTGCATGGAATGGGCTTAATGTTGTGCCAATGTCAGCATATTACCCAATTAAAATACCCTAACCATTTGTGTATCCTTACAATGCAATGCAATAGGCTTTTGGTTTTATGGACTGGGATGAAATTGTTGGTATTCAAGACATGGGATGATGAACGTGAGATAAGATATCTTACCCAGGTGAGAGCACCAGCAGACGGGGTTTGCCTCCCGGGCCTCTCTGGCTCTCCAGGAAGCCGGACAGATACTGCTGCAGGTGAGAGGCTGAGAAGCTGTCAAAGCTGTCAGGGTCAGGCTTGTACACCACCCACCTACAGACGAAAGAGAAATATAATATTTACCGTTTAGTGGTTGTCGCAATATTTTTATATCCTGTAGGGCTGTCCCGAATACCATTTTCCGGGCTCCGGATATTCGGTAGTAATCAGCAGCGAATATTCGGCGCGCGCTTCAACACGTGTATTTCGGTTTATTCAAGGCATTCATTTAGTTATTCTACAGTATTGTTGTTTTATAGTTATTTGTTAATGTAAATAACCCAATTTGTGTTCTTTGAAATTGCAGTTGTGTATATGTCTGAAGTGTAATTTGGCTTGGCTTCCTATTTATGGACATGCTTTTATTTTGAAGGAGAGTTAGCGCTGTTGACAGGAAGTTGTTGTTACTATGGAAACAACGTGACAGACAAAAGGAGCGGAGATTAACGGAGAAAAGTAATATCTACATATAAAGACGGAGAAAGTCAACGATAAAGTTTATGGTTAAGCGTTAGCACCCCCCGAAGAGGCACAAGCTCTTACGTTGATATTGGAGATTTCAATAAATTCAATTTGGCAGCCGCAGCGCGAAAAACGAATAACGAAATTGAAAACCGAATAGTGGGCCAACAACCGAATATTCGGGTACAGCCCTAATATCCTGAAATAGCTACAACATATGTAAGATAAGACACACAAACAAAATGTAAAATGCTGGATGAATTGTCTCTCACCTTCCACGCTCCTTGTTCAACTGGACCAAGTAGTTGCAGAGCCTCTCCTTATGGCTTCCTGGTAATCCAGTGATGATGGTAACCACAACCTTTTTACACATGAAAATAAACACATTAGATTTGAATCAATTAAATTAGAGTATGAAGAATCCTTTTAAGCAACCAGAAATGTTTTTTTATTCCACTTCGCCTTAATCAGTATGCTTACCTTGTCTCCCAGACTGCTGACTGGGTTCCTCAGCTCTGCAGAGGGGAACAGCACCCCCAGGTGGTCGTACAGGATGGGCTCCTGACCGATGCTACTCAAGGCGAAGTGTTGTAAAAACCTGACATAGACAAGAAAACAACATCAGTAAGCAGAAATCAGGTCACAACTGAATGGCAAGACTAGATCATTGTTTTTGTAATAAACATTTATATAAAAAGCACAAAATCAGTTCTATACAGTATGTTTATTTGGGACAGTTGGATGTCTCATTAAACCAGAAGACAGATCTGTGAATACCAAGAAGCTGAGTTAACATCGCATGTGGTCTTCTTTGTTTCAGCTTTAATGGTATGAAAGACAATGTGGGTGCCAGATAATGAAGCTTCATTGACTTGCATACTTTCGAAATGCTATTTTGGGAAGGTGTTATTAAGAATACCCAGCATCAGGTTTTATATTTTTTTGGTCCAACTGTGAAGCTGTGTGACTTGTGAGTGTGAACTGACATGTCCTGCTCTGGCAGCTGGGAGTAGGAAGTCTTCAGGCTCCCTCTGCGTTTGGCCACAGGAGGCTCCTGACTGTCGTGCAGCTTCTGCAGTCTGCTGTGCCTGAGAGGGAAACGTATTACAACATTACTATATTGTGATTTTCATGCAGATAGTTAACCTTAAATACCTACTTTATAGCGCATCTCAAAGACTGATTTAATATTTGAATTTATCTACAAAATATGTAATAAAAAATGGATAATGATGTGTATCGCAAAGCATATAGGATATTAAAATATTGAAGCTTGATTAAACATATAACACCAATGGTATCGGAAATCCATTAAAAAAGTCTGTATCAATGCGCATCAATGTTTTCTGAAAGTGTGATATTTCAAGGCAAGAAACACTTTCTGTTCTCAAAGGAATCTAGCATAGAAACAACTCATCTTAAAATGTAAAGGGGATCAAGTCATCTTACATATTTTTCTGGTTCCAGGTCAGCTGCTTTTGATCCACCATTTGCAGAGGGAGTTCAGATTTAGAGTTTTGCCACACCGACAGAACCTGAAACAGAGAGAGATAAGGTTCATACAACTGGAGCTCTGTAATGAGCTTATATTAAAGAAGTAGATATTAATGGATCATCCATAAATCAACACAAAACCACAGCTCACAATCCTTTAAAGAAAAGTCCTAACAATAGTTAATGCTTGCTAATCAATAGTGTTTTAAAAAGGATACTGCTCTATTAACTGTTTTTACCAGTGGTGTGCTTAGAATACTAATACACAGACATGGTGAGAGACTAAATCCGATGACCCAGGGCTATATCCTATCTCCTACCTTGTCAGAGGTCACTGGTTAAAGTCTCACCTTGGAATAGAAGGCCCTGTGGCTCTTAGACCTGGGCTGAAGAGCAAACACCAGACAGCGGTCAGCGCTGTGCAGGGGGAAGGGGAGGTGGGGGAACAGGCTGCTCTTATACTCCACCAGGAGAGACGCCACAGCACTGGAGTCCTGGGAATAAAAACACAATGAAATCATTCACAAGTTGGAACCAGAAATTCAACCGCTTATTCATAGTATATTTGTATCCTTGTTTTGAAGGGCAGCATGTAAATATCTGTGCATTTCGTTATCATTATTATACTACAGTATGTAGCAACAAAATAGATCTTGAGTAGAAAAATGATATATATGTGATCATATGTGAGACATGACTGTAAATATTACCGGATCATAGAACTTGATGGTGCTGATGTGATCCTTGGACAGGGTAATGCTTCCATATTGAGAATGGACGAACAAGAGTCCCTCAGAGAAGAAAAGGATTTTTCCTAAGATACACATTTTAAGAAATGTTCAGCATCATGCAGAATCACAACTATTTGTCAGATAAGGTATGCCATTACCACAATACTTGAAAGTCAAAGAACATCTTGTACATTTACTGTCACATTTAAACACAATTAATCCATGAAATAGTCTTATTCACAGGGCAGTGTAATAACTTAACTTTAGCAATTGATTTCAGGCTAAGTGAAACAATCTAAGAATGTAAGATGTATATGAATATAAAAGGGGAGGGTCACCTTCTTCAGGTGAGGAGAGCAGGCTGCTGGAGAACACGTAGGCAGCGTCTGCTACAGTCAGAGCCGTTCCCAAACAAGTGGCTTCCTCCTTCTGTTAAAGACACGTATTGTAAGTGATGAGGTCACATGCTCATACATAACTAAACATGTATTCATACTAAACATGGAGCTTCTGAACTGACCTTAGCAAGAAGTTGGGCTTCCTCCGATTGCTTGACGTCAGATTCCATCTAAGAACAACAAGAAACAAACAGTGTTGGAAAGAATGTTTTCCTAAAACTAAGGATAAAACATTGTGTTTTTTGGATAGAAGACAACGAAACATTTGTGTTTTTGCAAAATGACAGTTCAGTTTATATCACGCATGTTTATCACATTAAAAGGACATTAAAGCACTAACTGTTAACATGTATACCCACACTATGTTTGCTTTTATGTTGACACTAAAAAAGGTTAACATTCTGTGGAGTAATGATTCAGACCCACACATACCAGCCAGCAGGCATAGCGGGGCACGGTGGTCGTCAGGACCGTGTAGCAGCTGTCTGAGGACACAATGCCATCTGCAGGAGAGCAAACAAACTTGTAACATAATTGAAAACAAACAACAAAGCCAAAGAAGGAAAAACAAGGAAGAGGAATTTTTAATTGGAACCTCTGAGCAGCTGGTTTTTAAAAATGACTTTTGCCTTTTTCTGTTAACAGCATCCTGTGGGTTTGTCCTGCTTATTTTATAAATCAATTTGACATTGTGGAATCAAATCAGCAATTCCTTCCAAACACACTGAATCTGATCAATACCGTACCTTTCTGCTGAATGTTGATACTGGACTCCAAGAAGGATTCAGAGAAAACCACCGAGCCCAGGTCCCCCCCGCCCCACTGCAGGTCAGGGATGTCCTGGACAGTCATGGACGCCTTAGAACAAAAGTAGATTTAGTTATTTAGATACATTATATACACAATCATTTTCTTGATAAAATGTTTTACTTCTATATAACTTACTGTTTTTACTAAATAACGGCTTTTTTCATCTGTCAGAGGAACAATCCTGAAAAAAGAAAACAGGCTGTTAAGAAATGAAATCATTCACTGTGTTAACACAAAGGGTTTTTAGAAAAAGCATTCTTCTGATACTATATGAAACATAAAAAATGTTCTAGGAGATGCATCAACAAATATAAATGCTACCAACAAGGACTAGTGAACACTCACCTTCCCTGGTTATTTACTGCTTGAATGCTGAATTCACATTTAGATCTAATAAAAGAAAACAGAATGATATAGAGATTCAAACAATGCGTCACTTTTCATCATGGCTCAGTCTCACACTGAATGCATTTTGTACCTGAGATAACTGCGGTACTGATTTAAATTCATGGTGTCCAAAGTCAAAAGAAAAGTGTTCTCTGCAACATCCTTAGCCTGCAACGATAATAAAAGCGTAATAAAAAACTTCACAGTTATGCTGAAAGATTAATGTTATAATAGGTGCTCTTTTATCTCACCTTGCTAGTGCTGGAGGTACAGGAGAAGCATTTGATTCCAGACAGGACTGCTTGAACAGCAGCTGAATACACCTGTGACAAAAGTCTGTAAAAATACATTATTCAAATGATTAACAATGGCCAACCAATAGCTTACAGGATAAACAAATTGCAAGATCCAAAGTGAATAACTTACAAGACTTCTGTTTTCTTTTGCTTTGTGTTTTGATTTCCTGAGGATGATATACAAGCAAGGGGACAAAATGATATACTAATAATACAAATAAGGGCTTCTCAAATTACATTTAAGTCCAAGCCCTCACTCCAAGCATTTATCTTAACGCATAGTAACATTCCCCACTAACTACACCTAGACAGACGTTTTAAGACTTGGGCTAACAAACCTGCTTTCAAATGTGATGCAATGGACAATAATGTTATAAAAAAAATAGTTATTTCACAAATGTGCAGTAAAGCCTCACCAAGGTATGGAGTGTGGGTGGTCCCAAAGAAATAGGTCCGGGAGCAGGCTAGAGGCCCTTTGGGAGCCACACACTGCAGAACCTAATGGAGAAAAACGTGTTTATTTCAAAAACATATAGTGATGGCAAGAGAGGATTTGTAAACACTGCTCGTAAACACCACCGATTGTACCGAACTTCTTCACCAGGTGGAGCTGCAGGCCAATTCTATTTTTCGTTAAGAGCTTTTGTGATATATAAAATACGTTTCAATTTGAAATGCTGGACAGTTTTCACAGGGCAGGTCTTATAGCTCTTTGCAGTTGCCTGGCCATTAGTAGGGATCCTATGGTGATGAAGGTTTGCAGTGTAAGCTACATCACACTGTTTTTCACTTCAGGCTGCTCACCATGTGTCTGGCTGTAGAACCCGGCGGTCCTGTGTTGCGGACTTGATGACTCTCTGAGGGAAAGTTAAATGAATAACTCTCCAAATCCTCTAAAGACGAGTGCTTCCCAAACAACACGAAGGGCTGCTGACTTTTACTGAAATATAGAAAGATTTGATTAGGCAATGGAGTTTTTTCCACAAACTACAGATGAGTAAAATTACAATATTTAGATATTGTTGAGTAGGAAACAAAACCTTTTATCTGTGATGTTGCTTGAGATCAGTCCATGAGAGTAATAAGTACGGAATGACTGGGGATCAAGACAAAAAACGTTATGTACAAAAAGCTGACTGCATTGAACGATGCCATTTAAAAGTATACAGCTAATGAATGAGAAGTAGTTTAAGCGGACATGTAATGGATCTATTTCCTTTGCTGGGTCCAGCTGTTTTTTTGTAGGAAAATGACAACAAACGTACCTCTCCTGCCTGCGCTTCCGAAAGCTCCAAGATGGACAGGTGGCTCTCCAGGTCCATGCTGGAGAAAAAGCCACTCCACTGCTTCTCAAAGTTAACCAGGTCCTAAAATACAACAAACAACACCAAGGTTAGAGCGCATATTGAACTGATGGTCATGTTCAAACCTTTACATTCAAAACACAACATAAAATATTGTTGTGCCTTTAAAACTAACTGAAGAGTTAATTCAATGCATCATTCATCAACTGACTGACAAACAAAACCATGTTCACTTTAAACAACATTATTAAAGAACTTCTGGACAAGAAAACGTTCAACAAAATATTTTCAAAATTCAAACGGCAGAAGAAAAAGTAGCTCAAAATGACCTCTATGAGGAGATGATCAATGGACACTGGGTCGAGTCTGTTGTAAACCTGCCACAGCTTCTCACTCATGTCCATTATCTGCAAAAGCAAGAATATACCAAACAAGCTGTAACAAGCATAATGTAGTGCAACAAATACTTTCCGTATGAAATGCATTTTCCTTTGCGACACTTTAGAGCTGACAATACATTTATGTTTTAGGTTGTTTGAAGATACCTTGTATTTCATGGTAAAGAAGCTTCCTCCACCAATGCCTTCCAGGGCAAATGCTTGAATCAGCGGCCACTTCTCCAACATGAACATATCAAAATTCTGGATGTGTCCTAAAAATAAAATAAGAGCAAGTATAATTACATTACATTATGTTCATTTCATTTAAGAAAAATAAGAAAACGCTGTCAAGTAGGACCAATCACATTTCAGCTTAGTGAGATGTCATGGAGTTGGTGTGGGAAGTTACATTAATGCACATCATGCATCATAAAATACTGAGAACCTGGCACATTGTCTGTATATTTAGGACATGTCTGCTCAATGCTACCTCTGTTAAAACTGCACAGCTCTTTCAGTTTAATTCATGTTATACTGTAAACATTTTATTTTGTATTCCCTCCTTTTTTGCAACTTAATTCTTCTACGGTGTTTATGTATGTGTCATTGTACGCCAAAGCAAATGTCCTACATGGGTAAAACAATGCGGAAATAAACTTGTTTCTGCTTCTGATAAATGTGGAGTTTAAAACGGATGATATTTACCCTGGGAGCTGAAAGGTACACCGATACGATAGCAGTCCTGCACCATTGTGACAAAACTGGAGATTTTGAATTCCTCTGCTGCTTCCTCATCTTCATACTGTGTGGAGGTCGAAAAGTACAGAGGTAGACAAATTAAAAAAGCATCTCAGGAATACCAGTCACAAACACGGCTACAAGGAGTCATAAATACAATTCAACAAAGGCAATCATTATCTGAAGAAGCTATAGTGTATATTGGAATAAACTACAGTTTTGTTAAAGAAAGTCAATCTGCTCCTTTCACTGTGCAGTCCCTGTTGACAAAGTGTAATATTCAAAAGGACTTTTCTAATAGACATGCGCACAAAGTGACCCAAACGGGTTCAAATAAAGCCAGATGGTACATTAACATGCCTAATTACTCTTGATGAATGTAATACTCTCAACCAAACATACAGGAACTATAATTATCAGAAAATATAGGCCTGTAGGGTATGAACATGGCTTTGTACCTCCGCCTTTGTCATGCAGTAGAGCTGCAGGTTCCTCCAGTGGGACACGTAGGGCAACAGGTAACTGTAGTTCATTGGGTTGCAGTACAGATGAACACAATCTGCCTTTATTAGCAAGATAACATCTGGAAGCAGACAAGTAATGTGTCAGAGTGGATTACAAAAATTAAAGCTGCCTGAAAACTGTGAAAAACAAATTAACATCACTCGAAAACTCACCATCTAGCATTTCTTCAGGAAAATCCTCAAGAGCATTTTCCAGATTCAAATGATTTCTTCCATATAGTCCATAGAACAGGAACTTAGCCAGCTCAGTGCACCCCTCATTATATCTGCTGTCAATTCCTAAAATACACAAGAATGTATACATATTTGTTGTTTATTTTAAATCAACCATGCAAATTGTTTTATTCAACACATGTTCACATTACACGTGATATCCTCTAGCCTGAACAGTTGGTAGTGCCGTTAACCAGATAAAGACATAAAGGTACAAAATAAACTTAACATACCAAGAGAGCACAGGATGCCATCAGGAACAGTGCCAGCCTCGCAGAGCAGAGACTGGACCTGACTCAGGCGACTGCAACTGGGAAATGTCACAATAAAAAGGTACACAGTCATTTATTAGGTATTTACTTTAAGTTCAGGGGAACATTGAGATAAAATGTTCACTTTTCACTCCAAAAAGAGCAGTTTAATAAAAGTCAAGGTTAAGAAAGGAGTTAGGCCACATAACAGAGTTTGATATCAATGATCCTAAAAAACAGCATGTTGGACCTTGTTTGAAGTTTAATAAAAAATAGAAAATTAAAGAAATACAATATATTGCATTCATAAGACAGTATGAAAGCTAAGGTCACTTTTCCTAAGATTTTACACCATTTTTTCGACACCACAACATTAAACATGTTTCGATCACCGCATATTTCGACAACAGTTTCTTATTGAAAACACACAAGATTTCAACATTTTGACATTGTTTCAGCACACTAAAAACAATATTAAGTTATGACATGAGCCTTAACGTTAAGTTAACAATGAATTGAGTAAACGTTGACGGACACATTTAACATTAAGATGTTTTGCGGGTTGCTAACACTGATTACCACAGATCCCAAGATAAACCGTTAAAAATCAACGTTAGCTTGACGTTTTGGCAATAAAAAGACAACTGACAGATGTGCAGGGAATACCTAGGAATGGGTGTCATGGCTCCACTACTGTAGCTAGCTAACGTTGAATTATTCATATGAAGCATAGCTTAACCAGCAATGATGATATCATGAAGTATCAGTGTGGTAGACACTTGTCTAACGTTAGGTCCTTTACGTTTCTGTAAACAGTGCCCTTAACGACAATTAACAATGCTGTTTTCTTATTACATCTATGCCAATAACGGATAATGCTAACGTTAGCCATGTTAGCTCAACGGCTTCACTGAGGCGTTTTCTGTCCACGCAATTCGACATTAACATTACCTGACAGTCGGGTTAATTCCCGAGATTTTCCCGTTCACTCGCCTCAAACCGGCCATGGTTATTGCTGCCACAGTTCACACAATTAACGTTTCTAACCGAACAACGTTATTTATTTCTCAGGACGAATAACTAGGCTACATCTTTTTCATCACCCTGGAGAATGTCTACAAAGAAAGGATAGCATAGCAACGGTTCAGACCATGTAATGCGTAGGGGCTTTCAGAATATATTTTAAATCTTTGGGGGTAATAGTTAGAATATGTAACCCTTATTGTTATTATTTAAAAAATGTCTCTTTAATAAAGCACCTTATTTAGGTTTTGGCCCAATAAAGCAGTTAACAAAAATAAATGTTACGAATTTGACAAACATATCCCCCCGTTTTACACTGCCTTGTTCGGGCCCTTTCGTGTTGACAGCTGGAGGCAGCAGTGCACAGCAGCACAGGGAGATGGTGCAATCCCTCAGTAATCCCAGCTGTTGAGTATGTAGGGGGAACTCCTATATATACTACAGCTTTGTCTCTGCGAATATTAATATATACATGCATGTGCAATCAATGATAATTCATGTTTATTTCTTGTTTATTATTGTTTTACACACTGTCATTTTGTGACTTTATCTTCAGTAAAACTAATCATTACACGTTTTAACAGATTTTCCTTTTTGTGTCTTGTATGTTAAACAGCATGTTCACAGGGAGGTTGTCTCACATTTTACCTGCATGTCTTGGTTCTAATGACTTTAGTTTACATCTCTACAGCAAGGCTGATTCAGCACTAATAAAGACAATAGACAATCACAGGATGCCTGCTTTTTGTGCCCAGAGCAGCAAACCAATGGAGTCAGGTGGGTAAAGGAAACCGAACCAGGCCAAATGATTAGGAGTTTACCGGAACCCCATAATGGTTCAGTTCATAATGTTCACTTTAAATAGGCCATTAACTTTGGAAATGCTGTTGTAATGTACTACATTTTGGGAAGATACATCTCTACAATATTGACTCACGTACTGCATTTTAAGATTCAAGGTAAATTATTCCTGTAGTGGTTATGGTTTGTGTTCATCTCCAGGACATGATCAAGTAAAGGTCTAAATATAAGCGTCTGTTGGTTTTTTGGTGCATGACAAAGAGATTTGTGCTTGTAGAGAGTACTGGTTTTTGAGTGAAGAAATGCTTGTGAGTGAGGTAACTGAGTTTATCATCAAATGTACAAATTCAGGAATTTATCATGTGCTATCTTATTGAGCATAAAGAGGAGTAAAAGAAGAAGTACAGCTGCCGGATGTATTCACTTTTGGATTTTCCCTTGACTTATCTGACACATTTAGAAGATTTGCTTGTTGATATATTGATTGCCTAACAGTTACATCCTTAACATCATCCTTCAGATGGACTCATGTGCCAACAATCTGATTACACATGGATAAACAAGATTGCCCTTAAAAATGTGTTCCGTTTTTTTTATTGTGCAGCTTTCATTTGACTTAATAAAGTATACAATAAAGCCTGTTAATCCAAAACACTTATTCTACACAGTAAGTGAGAAATCAAGGCAGACATCTGAATGTGATAAACTGTACTTTATTGTTTCCTTTATAACGTGATGGATAATCTATTTTTAAATGTGTTTGTAGTATGTTTGCAGTATTGCAGATCAATCTCTAGAGCGTCAGTGAAAGCAGGATTTTTTTAACTTCCAACTGCTTCAGTGGGCTGCAGGCCCATGGTGCTGGTGATCCACTCAGTGTAGAGGGAGATGATGGTGTAAATTCCAGGCTTTTTAATCTGGCCACACTTCTTTCCTCCGTTGGAAGTGATGCCCACTGCGACGCCGTTGTAGAGCAGAGGACCTCCAGAGTCACCCTGAGAGACAACAGAAACACACTTTCACTGCAAGTTTTCAATTTAAAAGCTGGATAACAATATTAGCATCGGTAAAGAACATGTCCTTCCGGCCACACAACCTAAAGATGTCATCATACTGTAGAAAAGGGGGGAAATCCCATCTGTGAACTTTTAATAAAGACATAACACTATACAATACAATACAGTATCACATACAATACATGTGATACTTTTACTTTACTTTTATTTAAATGTCTTTCTATTATAATTCAATACTAAAAAAAATGTATTTGACAGCTTTAGTTAGATTCTGATGAATAATACAAAATATAATCAAAATATATTCATCATATATTCTATACAGATCATGAGATAAAATATTATGAATCGATTGTTTTGATTCTCAAGCGTTCCCGCAGTGTATAGTAAAATAAAAAGTTATAAACATATTCATGCATCAATACTTCCAATTCAATATAACATATATTATTGTGGAATGGACCATCATGCATTTTGAGTACTTTTCTTTTCACTTTTACTGAAGTGCATTTGGAATGCAGGAATTTTGCATGTAACAGAGTTCTTCTTCATTCTAGTATATATGGCATATTTTACAAGTAAAGTAAAAGATCTGAGTACTCCATTCCCCAATGCATAACTTTCTCATAGCCTTCCAAACTTGATGCTGTCTCTCCCGTATGTGAAGAATCATTAACATTCAGTAAAGAGAATGACTAAACCTTACATCACACGTGTCTTCCTTCTTGTCAGGTTGGTCACAGGGGTCCGGGCAAATTTTATGAGCACACATCATGTTGTTGGTGAACTTCCTGCCAAAGTAGTCGCTGCGTCTGCACCGGACTGAGCTGACCATCTCTATGACCACCTCCTTCAGCTTGTCTGGCCTGGACCCCAGATCATCCTGGGACCCCCATCCAGCCGAGTCCACCTCTTCATCTATGCCGGGGTTTGTGCCACCTGTTCGCAGGAATGGCACTGCTTTAACAGCCTCAGAGATGTTGAATGGACGATCCAACTGAAAAAAATCAAGAAAATTGTTAAAAAATAGAATAAGCTTAATATCCATAGTTCTGTTGTTGGCTTGTTCTACAAACAGAACATCATAGCAGTTTAAATGTCAGTACCGCTGATACCTTGATTAAAGAAATGTCATTATCATAATTTGACGCCTTGAAGTCTGGGTGATTGTGAAGTTCCATGATATCAAATGTCTGCTTCGTCTCTTCAGCTTCACTCAGAGAATGGACACCCAGCACTACCTGCCTTCCATTTGGCCTGTGAAAAAAGAACAATAATTATTAATAATTCAATTATCTCCAAAACATTTCAACTGGAACAGCGTAACAAATGAGCAAAAACAGAATCTCCCCCAAATAGATTGATAAGGTCTTGTTGTTGTTGTTGTTGTTGTTGTTCTTCTTCTCCCTCTCCTTCTCCTTCTCATTCTGATTATTAATAGCATTATGAAGACATATTATATTACAAAAGAGCTAAACTGCATATGTTCCTAAAATACTCCAAATTAGGTAACAAACTAAATTATTTAATTAAACATAATAATATTTCCGCAGAAGACTCACAAACTAAATCCGAGATACGTTCCCTTACAAACTGGGTAATTTAGTGGAATATAAAGAAGTAAATATTTAAATAAATACTTAATATCTTAAATGTATTCTGTCCACTGGGACCAAATGGACTGTATACTTGTTTATCTGAACGTAATGCTTTCCTCATTGCAAACTACATTGATCAGAAGAGGATCTCCTCACCCTGTTGGCAGGCAGTGCACTGCAGTCATCACCCACTGATCTGCCACCACAAAGCCTCCACACTCGTGTTTCATGTTCTCTCCTTCAGGAACCTGGATGGAGGCCATGTAGGGCCGAGAGTGTGCCACCGCCTCTCTGCCACCGATTATGCCCTCACCTGAAATAATCAGAACACACCGAATAAAGTTTTTGACATTTATGGTTGTAGAGTAACAGTATATATAGCAAGGGAGCTTCAAAGCCCTATGGCTGGGGAAAAGCCTTTCAGCATTTATGCAAGGCAAGGGAAGTTTATTATATAGCACTTTAGACACAATGGGCTTTACAAAAAACATCAAAAGCATTCAGATATAGTGCAAAAGAATGTAAAAACAGTCATTAAAAAGCCAATTAAAAAGTCATTACATCTAATTCTGATTGACTTTTTATGCATTTATTAAATGAAATACCTATTCATATAACTAACACTGCACTGTCACCTTTTTATTTTTAAATTCCTGTCTTATTCTATTTTTATTTACTTGGCTTTTAAATGACTGTTTGTTGGAGAAATACTGTTGTCTCCACTTTATGGTTTGTTTTAATGCACTGAACTGTGCATGACCTTGCAGCTGCCTCTTGCTGTGGGGGGCAGGGCATTTCGGGTTGTTGATATTTATGAGGAGACAGACACATACTTGTTGTCTCCTAAATATCTAATTTCTATGAGGCGTGAAGGAAGAACGTGACTCTTTCCAGAAGACGTCGCAGATGATCCCGACACCATCTTTCCGACACCCGCGGATGATATTAGTGCCACCTCGATTTACGACTTTGTTGTTATCTATCTCCGTGTTTTGGACTATATAAGCCTGATGTTTTTTGCTGCTCCGGTGAGCAACATACCCCATGAGTTAAACCATATCCTTATGTGATTTAACTCTGCTCCTTCTTGCAAGAATAAATTAGTACCTGATTATTGATTCTCAACCTGGTGTCGAGTGATATTTTCCTAACACTGTTCTAAACATATCTTAATACATTTTAATTGCCATGTTTTTTTAAATGTTGCCTTGCCTAATTTCTATATCGAATCGTATCTGTAGGATATCAGCAAAGTGCTTGGAAACAATTGAAACATTTGCAAATAATAAACAAGACATTTCTACAATACAACAGTTTTTCAGAAACAATACAGACATCACAGGATAAATGTAAACCATTGAGCATGAATTATTCAGAAACAAAATCTAAACACATTCATCTTTTGCTATGAAAGAAAATCCACTCACTGTGTGAAATGAGGGCACAAACAAAAGCTGCAGCAGCCACAAGGACGTCTTTCTTTGACACCATGATGTCGGTTTGACTAAAACTGATCAGCAGCTGTGGTGTTTTAAAGACTTTCACCAGAAACACAGGAAAACATCCATCAAGTAGATACAGAGTGGTGCAAGACACCAGTGGGAGTCTGGCATCCTCTGTTTCCTGGAACAGGAAATAAAACAACATGTTGACTGATATCTCTGTATTTAAACATTTCTTCAGTTACATTTCTGAAATGTCCTTTTATTTTTGAATTTCTTTGTAATAATTGTAGATAACAGAATTGTAGATTTTCTCGCATTGTTGCACTCAAAATAATATACACATTTCTACAGATTCAAACGG